TTGATGAGGTCTCCATTTAAAGTTTAGCTTCGGAGGATTTAAATGGAGTTCTGTCTTAACAGCTCAATCAAGCAGTTTGAATCGAATCCAAAACCATTGACATTCTTTGGTTCAATGATCACCAATCACCAGAGTTGTGGCTAAGCTTTTTAGCACTCGGGGACAACTGTAGATTTCATGCCCCCTTATGTTTGCCAAAAATGGAAAACATTTAGTTCTAAAATTTTTTAACATCAATTTGGCATCCCTGGATGCTGCACCTGTCTTCCCTTACCTCACTCTAACTACTCCACTGATGATCACGTACACTATATGGTGTTAAGATATTGCAGGTCTTTGTTTAGAACACGCACAAAAAGGAATGTAAAGGTAAAAGAAATTTAATGTGAAGGTGTTTATCTTTACATATAGAATGTGAGTCCTAACATCCTAAGTGTGGATGATTTTTGAGGGTTAGTTATTTTTTTCTGTAAAACTGTACAGAAATTATAGAAAAAAATATGAAACAAATCAATTGAATATACCCACACATTCATTTCATGTTTGTTTCATTATATCCGATTTCATACCTTTCAGTGTTTGGTATAGCAGTGAATAGGAAAAAGTGGATGGACTGAAAGATTTATTTGTTGTAAGCTGGGCTTGTTACTGCCGAATTTGTAATCTGTCACGTTCCAATTCATAAATCAGACTGTGCATATTTGGTGAAGACATTTATGCATACGAAATTTCAAAGCAATCAGATGATTCCATCTTGGAGAGTCGATTTTTTTGTTATGGAGTGTATATTGCTTAACACTATTTATTAGCTTAAAATTAAAAACAAATTAATTTCAGTATCTAATATGTTTGCACCGAATAAATTATTGTTGTTAGCATCGTTTATGACAATGTTCAAACAGTGATTACAACAGGGCACAAAAAATATTACAGGTCTGATATCCAGGGATGTATCCAAAATTCTTTTGTGCACACTGCTATATTATTGACAACAATATAGCTTGGAGTTTCAACCGGCAATGCTACAGTTTCTCCAAAACGTTTTCAATATCTGGAGTTCATGCATAATATCTATACTATTTATATCGCTTTGATTTTTATCAGTTAATGCTTTTCCCAGTTTTTGACATAAGCTGAACTGATCTTGTAAGATATATGTGAACGAAAATACATGATGTCGATGTGCATATAGGGACACGTTTGACAAATTGCTTAATCCTTATTTTGTGTCTACTGTTGCAATTGTAGCAATTTGTACAACATTTATCTTATTTTGTGATTATTTTTTTGGTGATTGCTTGTTGTTATTGTTATCCAACATAAAAAAGTTAAGTAAAGCTACACATTATGTTAAATAATAGCAGGTGCCTCAACCCCGGACAACAGAATGAAGGTAACTTTAACTCTACCAGACAGACTGGGACACCAATCCGACCTGCTAACACTATATCATGGTATATAGACTTCGGTTCTAGAAGCCCTCAGGGGGAAACCAAGGAAGGATATGAATATGCAGTTTTGAGGCTCCTGGCGCCCTCTGAAAACCTCGCAATTTTAAAAGCTCGCCGAATTCGCCAACTCCAACGATGGGGGTGTTTCACCCATGATAACCATGAATATCTAATTATATAGCTGCACCACAACCAACAGACAAGACAGTACCATACGGTCCCTGCCGAGCCTGAAACAGCCATTACCAGTGAAGCCTGAAACAGCCATTTCAGTCATGTGGAAACTGAATTTAAACACCCGTGGCCGAGAATGCGTGTTTCCCAGGTTTTACTTGAGTAGACTCCCAGAGGGGCATTCAAATAAGACAAGGATTTTCTTGTTCAGACAGGTAGCAAGACGAACTGCTTGTTTTAATGATTGTCCTGTGCCTTTTTGACTCAGCGCCGTCGTTCGCTGCACGACCTTGCACAACCTTGCCTGGGAATGGTGTGTCATGCTTGTGACTTGTGACTTAAGTATCTAAAAAGGTGTGTGGTGCTGATACAAGAGACAGCTTGATCAAGATGACCATCCTATCAAAATGTATTATGTCAGAATTTTCCCAAAAAGTAACTTGTAAAGTGCATTCTTTTGAATAACAACCTTAAAAATGCTAAATATATTCACTGTTTGTTTGCTAAAAATCAAAAAGTAAAATTGTCAGAAATTTAAAAAATGTTGTTATTTTTAGGGGGGGGCAATGTTTTTTGAGCTCTTTTTACTAACAAATAATTTGAAAGTGTAGTTTTAAATTTTGTTTTTGTTTTGACATGTTGCTCATGTCCCAAAATTTGCATTATTCTTAATGCATTTCGATAATAATAAGTTTAGTAATTCTAAAAAACTGATGAAAAGTAGCAACATTTTGCAGCTTGCAAAATTCTGAGTGTAATGTGCAAATGGAAGATATATTTTTATATGAAAGCATTTTTTTTCCCATTTTTCATAGCTAGACAAGAGGCAACTTTACCAGGGCCATAATAATAGAAAAATTTGTAAAAATGCCTTTTTTGGCCCTCCCTAATGTGCAATGAGGTAAAGGGTTTTTTTAATCTTTTAAGTAGCTAAATCTCCTCAAATGGAGTGTATCGCTCACTTTGGGAAACTGTGGTTTCTATACATATTACATATATATACACTGCTGGCCATTAAAATTGGAACATCAGGAAGGAATCATCTGATGAATGTCAAAGTCGCATGGAACAAAGATTGAAATATGCAAATGATTAGTATTTCAGAGCATTAAGACATTGCTGGAGGGAGAAACATCTAAAGCACTGCATAAAAGAAAAGTTGTGTAGTAGATTTCTCATTCGGAAAGCACTTTGTAAGGTCGAAGTTTGCTCAGAATATTGTGCTATGCCTCAAATAATAAGAAATGCTTACCAGAGAGTGTCAGAATTCGATAGAGGCTGGATCATTGCCTATCAAGAGTGTGGATTATCGTTCCATGATATCGCAAGTTGCACCGATTGACATCCAACCACTGTCATGCACATATGAAATTAATGGGTTGCTGAGGGTCATACTGAACGGCTTGCAGGATCTCAATGCTCTCCCATGAATGATGCTCAAGAAGGCAGACATACTGTGAGGTCAGCCCTGAAAAACTGTACAACCACATCACGGACTATTAGTCAGGAAATAGGCATGTTTACAGCATGCCCAGTATCCACTCATATGGTGTATCAACGTTTGCAGCAGCGTGAACTATCAACATGCCGACCATTACTTTGGCTTCCTTTAATAATGCAGTATAGAGAAAGACTGTTGTCCGAACAACAAAGCTGGATACAGGAGTGGCACAGTATTGTCTTTACAGATGAGTCCCGGCTCTGCGTGCAGTATTCTGATGGCCGTATACATGTCTGGAGGCTTCGAGGAGACCGCATGTCGCCTGCTTGCATTCGATATCAGTACAGTGGCCCTGCACCTGGTATAATGGTTTGGGCAGCCACTGGGTACATGATACACACATCTCTAGTTTGGATCAAGGGTAATTTGAAAGCAGATCTGTACATTTCTGACATCTTATGCACGATGATAGGGCTTTATCTAACTAGATAATGCAAGACCACATGTTGCACATCATGTTCCTATCTTCCTTGATACACAGGGTACTCGAGTGCTGCCCTGGCCTGAATGGTCTCCAGATCTGCCACCCATTGAAAACATCCTGTCTTGGGTTGCTGAGAGGCTGGCCCACCACCCCTCTACAGCTAATACGGTTGAGAGAATGTGGCAGAGACTTGAAGCAGCATGGAATGAGTTGCCCGTTTCTGTCATCCAAGCCCAGTTCGACTCCATGCCTAACCGGATAAGGGCCGTTTTAGCTACCAGGCTGTGGCAGCTGTTTCTACTAATTTCGCAGCCCTGTAAACCTCCAAACTGCTTGCAAATTTAATCATTTTGCCTTCATGCCATACTGTTTACATACAATAAATATCTTTTTCGTATTTGCTTTCTTTTATGGTGCTGCAATTTTAATGGCCAACAGTGTGTGTATATATAATGTATATATATATATATATGCAATTGAAGAATTGTGAATTGTGATACAGCTTTGTACCTGTGCAGGGAAACCCCAATGAATTATATATATATATAATTAAAGAAAAGAATACAAACTAAGAAAGACCTTTGTGGTCAAGAACTTTGTGCATTGAGCTACAAAATTTAAAAAACAAGTTAAAAGAAAATTCTTAGTGCTTATGCTAAAAAGTAGCTTAGATACTATGGTTCTGGTGACAAATTTTAACATAAGTAAAATAAAGTGCAATGAAATGTGTAAAAATTAAATAAACAATATTATAACTAGAATATTTACAAATAAAATTCAAAACTAATTGAAAGTAATATGTTGATCAAGGTAAGACAAACTTTAAATAATAGAATAAAAGTGTGACATAAGACTAGCAAAAATACAAAAACAAAAAAGCGGTAAATGGTAGATTAGCGCAATTCGAATCTCATTACTGACTCTTCAGGGGAAATTTATAATGATTTTCGAATCCAGCTAATTTCATATCGCGTTTCGTCGAAATAAACAATTGAAACTTATACGAAACTCTTTTTGAATATTAACTGAAAAAAACTTAGTCATATACCTCTCATATATATATAATTTCATATTAATTCTCAGTCTCAATTCTCATATATATATATATATATGTCTCTCATTTGCTTTTCCGTAATGAGTAAGATAAAATTAGGTTTTTTATAATATTTTTAGTTATTTCATTGTATTTTGTAATGGGTACATAAGTTCATTATTCAGTTACTTGTATTTAATTTAGCTGTTAGTTCCTTAGGGAAATTATTCAGTTTGGTTGTGGAAAATCAGGTAAATTTTGGGAAATTAAAAGTTGAATTTTAGTGGGTGCCAAGTGTTGATTGAAATATTTGCTGATACCATACATTTATAGCATTTCATTTTAATTTGAATTATTTCATTATACCCAAAATTTTATTTACTGTTAACAAAACTAATAAATGTATTTAATTTTTAGGGACATCAAAAAGGCCAGACTTTTACTCAAAAGTGTTAGAGAGACCAATCCTAACCATCCACCAGGTATGTACTCAAAAGATTTTAATTTAAAACTAGTAAAAACTTTTGCTCATGCATATCGTCATTGGGAATGTATTAACATGCATCTTCTTTGTATCTATTTCTAATTACATTTATTGCTGATTACATTTATTTTTTTAATTGCATTTATTTCTAGCATCGGTCTTTTATAAGAGTTATAAGATTGTTTCATTAGTAAAAATATTCATATATGTTTTGTGTCAAATAAATGAGAAAAATGTCATAGAAGCTATTAATAAGTTCTTGTTTGAAAAGAGTTTTAAGAGTATATATTTTTAATTTAAAATTTTATTTAATAGGTATTGAAGTAAGTTTCTTTATAATTTTGAGCTCAATTGATCATAACATATTGAGGTATGTGGATGAAAATGATATTAAGAATTACTTTTAGCTTGGATAGCTTCAGCTCGACTAGAAGAAGTCACAGGCAAACTCCAGACAGCTCGTAATCTAATTATGAAGGGATGTGAAATGTGTCCCAAATCAGAAGATGTTTGGTTAGAAGCTGCTCGTCTGCAGGTATTTTGTTTTGCTTAATTATTATGCAATACAGAATTACTACCTAATAATTATTAATTTATAGTTTCTTAACAAAATACTTTTTTCAGTAAATATTGGAATTTATTATAGTGGACATGATTTAAAAAGTAAGCTTTATTGTATGGATTTATATTGAAATATTCTGTAGCTACTTTTAGCAATAAATTTTTACAGCACAAAATTAAAGAGTTTTCTCCCTTGTTTAGAAATTTAATCAAATATTAAATAAAAAAATTCTAAAATAGTTATATTCGGCCTCTTTTATTGTAAAAAAAGTTTTAAATTATTTTTTACTGTTACTGTATTAAAATTTCTTAATAAAATTTTCATTAAAATCTTAAGTGTGATATAAAGGGCAAAAGAAATTGAAATTTTCTCTAAATATTTTTACAAATTAGTTACTGAAAATATTTATTACTCTCATAATGTTTAGATTTTCATAGGAACTATATTAAAAATATGATTTAATTTTCTGTATCTTTGATTGCAATTAATTGAAAAAGAGTGACTTTGAGTACATAATTAAAACTGGTATTTGCAGTCAACTGGTATTTGAAATTAAAGCTTTTGTATGTTTTAGTTGCTCCTTTGTCAAAGTTTTTTAACACAGCAATTTTTATTGCATGTCATCTGGAAGAGATTATCATTAAAAACCAATACATTCTGTATATGACATTAAATTATAAAGTAATATATTTGTGCATATGTATATTGATTAAGTACATAATTGAACCAGTTATTTCAATAATAAAAGCTTTCGTATGTTTTATTTGCCTCTTTCCTAAAGTTTTTTTACCATGGTAATTTTTATTACATGTCATCTAGAAGGGATGGTAATTTTTATTAATGTTATTTGGATCATTTAAAATCAAGACATTCTGTGTATGGCATTAAATTGTAATGCAATATATTTGTATAGTTTGAAAAGTAATTATAAATTATTGAACAGTTTTTAATAATTTATAATTTCTTATAGCCATCTGATTTAGCCAAAGGAGTTATAGCTCAAGCACTTCGTCATATTCCTGCATCAGTTAGATGTTGGATTAAAGCTGCTGAACTAGAAACAGAGCTCAAGGCTAAAAAGAAAGTCTACAAAAAGGTAATGCTTTATGTCTAATAAAAATTATTATTTTTATTCTTTGTATGGCTTATAATTTTGGGAAAGATTTTTCCTCATGTAAATTTTACTACCACTTTCAATTTTTATGTAATTTAATTGTGAATGTCATCATAAATTATAGTATGGCTGTTTCTTTCTCCATATGTTCTTGATTTTTGTAATGAAAAATTTTATTTAGATTAGTCATATAGTTTTCATTCATATTAGCATATTGTCCATCAAAACACTTCTAAGCTATTTGCAACATACTAATCTCATTTGAACAGTCAAAAGGTTTTAGAAACTGATAAGATTTTTTTTTTCTTTTGAAACTGTGATTCATCTGTTTTGTTATTTTATGAATAAATTAGTTGCTTTATGTAGAATTTCTTGCAAATGATGAATTTGGAACTGATATTGCATGCATTTTCCTATGCACAAAATTTCTCTGTATGAAAAAGTTTAAACAAAGAAGCAGGTTGGTTGAACAGGCATATGGGCCGCTACCTCAGTTGGAGCGATATGGTAGTTGCTCGAAGTTGGCGACAATGGATCATGGAAGGGATAGTCTACTGTCACAGAGGATCAGGTTGTCACAGGAACAAAAATGAGTGCGAGGATCACACAATCATAAGAGTGGCCACTTCTGCACCATCATCTTCATTTATTACCTCTTCTCCACATTTCTTTACAAAATCCGTTAATTGGAAAATTTACCTTTGTTTTGTGATATCCGAAAACCTTTAAAATTAGCGGCTATCATCATCAAATTATCTATCCTTCACTATACATATTTGGTTGTGCATCATGAGCTTGGTGACTAACGACAAGTTGTTCCGTTAAATTTTATCTTGCTTCCATTGCGCACTGACACAATTAAGCCTGAATTGTATTAGTTTAGTTATCTATTATACTTATGTCTATTTCTTGCACATGCGTAAGGCTTATCAGAGTTCTGAATAAAAAAATTCCCACATATACTTAAGCCTTATTGAGGGCCGGCGCTAGATATTTTACCGCCTGATGCTGCCTCTCTGTGCGTCCTAAATTCTGCAACCCGTTGCAGCCATACGAGCCCTGCCGCTGGTTCTGGGTTTATGTGATTAACAAATCAGTTATTCTTAATTCAAATAGCCCAAATGTAATCTTTGAGTCTACAAGTATCATCAACGAAATCTATTTTTAGCATATGGAAAGAAAATTTTGGTAAATTTTTCCTCGTCAACATTTTTTAGCGCATTTAACTTAAATCTGTAATCATAGTCAAGCGTAATGTCAACATAAAAGGTTACCATACTCCTTTAGTATTCAATCACTAATGTTAAGGCATCGCTACATGAGTCATTACTCAAGTTGTCATGTTTTGATAAACATACGGTGATGAAAGGAAAGTATAATAAATAATGATTCGCCAGGTTGGCATCAAATCAACGATGTATCTTTTGTGGAATGTTTTCGTTTGAGATTGTGTCAGGCAGATACACGGCAATGGAGCCAAATTACTGATCATACAAATTTAAGCTAAAATGGTTGTTTCTTCAATAACAAGGTATTTTATTTAGTGTCGAAGTGATATTAAGAATCGAGGCTCTCCAGATGTTTTATTATGCGCAGAGGGGAGGAATCGAATGCGCATGCGTAAATCATATGAGAAAACATTATTGGTGGTTTTGAGGTCTGGATTTTAGATCATTCTGGATAATTGGACATCCAGATTTCAAACTTTGTACTGCATTTGTTGGGATACACGATTACCTCTAGTTGTCCTTCAAGCACTATGAAACCCCGCAGTTACGTCGACGACATTTTAATGCTGGTTGTACTGCCTATGCTGCCAAGTCACCCAGGAGCCATTTATCAGGCAGGCAGCAGTTATCTATATATTGTGTGAATCTCTGAACAATGTCTTCAAGGATATGACCTACTCCCATGGCCTGCCAGGTCACCAGACCTCTCACTAATAGAGCACATTTGGGACATGCTTGGAAGGCAACTGCAGGAGTCCTGGAATATTAGTGAATTAACTGCCCAGTTGCAAAGATTATGGCATGATCTTCCACAGGGGGTCGTACTTGATTTGATGCTACTCTGTGTTTTGGCTTGTATAGTGACCAGAGGTCGCTATACTACGTACTGATCTGTAAGATTTTTCATGCCATAACTCCTTAATAAAACGATCTTTTGTTTTGAATTTGTAATCATTTGTTTATCTTCTCATATACTGCATACATATAAAGTTTCGTGATAGTAGTTCATTTCCTTCAGGGTGCATATTTTTTTATTTTATTTTATTTTTTATTTATTTATTTATTTATTTATTTTGGTCACAGAGTGTAGGAAAAGTAAGGCAAAATTGCACAGCATAAAAGCAGTGACAGCAGATTATGTCTTAGTATACTTAGGAGTCATATATATATATGTACAGTCAAAAGTCTTTAATCCGGACTTGTCGGGACTTCGGCGATTCCGGATTATCGATTTTTCCGGATTATAGATCATCAGTTTAAATCTGGTAAGATGGCATGCAGAAATCATAAAATTAAAAATATGAAACCGTAATTTATAAAATAATGAGCAATTATGATCTAAATGGTATCAAAATTTACAAAAAAAGAAGCTTATATTTATTTGTTTACTTTATTAACATTTCTTTCAACGTGCACATGTAAAGCATACATTACGCATAGACAAAATTAGAAAATTGCAACCAGAAAACTATTTGATTTGTATTCATGATATTTATAATGACGAGGAATTTGATTTAAATCATATCAAAGACGGAGTACATCGAGATGAAATACTACATTTAGTAAGGAATTATAAGCCGAATAAAATAAAAACATCTGCCCTGAAGATAACGATAGTGATGACAGATCAACTTACAGTTCATTGCACGACGCGACGCCCCCCCCCCTACGCGCAGAGCAGCGTGAAATTGATAAACAGATTTCGGAACGGTTAGATAAACAAAGGATTTATCCATTTTTTTTGTTGCAATTCCATTTTTTGTTTGATGGACATCGAAACATACTTTCGTTTTCTAGATCCTTTGGGAGCTCCAGCATCGGAAATTCTATTTGACATAATCGAAAGTTCAAGCTTACTTTTATAAAATTGCTCTTACAGTCTGCAAGAAATTATAAGCCGGATCCAATTCGAAGATTAAGGAACATTGCAATCATCAACATTAACTGAAATAGATAATTAGATAATTTTAGCTTATACTGTCCGTTATACATTAAATGTGCACGTGAAAACGTATTCTGCGCTTGCGCAGACGCATATGCGCAGTCGTAAAGGTCTTGCGCGCACGCGTAAACGCCTATGCGCATGCGTCAATGCGATGCATGCGCAGAAAGAGTTTAGCTTTGAGGTCCGGATTATGGGTGTCCGAATTAACGACTTTTGACTGTATATATATTTTCACATTATTATGTATTCCAGAATATATAAATATTGTTAAATCATTTGCTAAAAGTAAATTGTTCAGCCCTAAAAGTAAATCAAATGTACAGGCATCAATCTTTTTCACGCTGACTCCTATTAAAATACAAGTGTAAACATCACAAGTGAACAATGTTCTTTTTATTTTGAATACTGATTTAATTTGCATAAATACATTTTTTCAAGATTCAATTCTTTTGAAATAGCGGTAAATTATTAACAGTAATATTTGTTGTTAATTATCTGATGAGTTATTTACCTTTTCTTTATCTTTTTAACTGCCTCAAATGAACTATGATTTTTGAATTAATCATGGACAATCAACTTAGGAGTTGATTTTATTTATGTGTAGCTTGTACAAATATATACATTCATTTGTAATTCATTTATGCTCCAAATTGTACAAAAGTGTTATCAGCAACAAAAATATTGATGGCTTTGTATTTTACCTGATGTACGTCTCATGTTACTATCCTCAGTAATTTTTTTAAAGAAGTGATACTGTTACTGTATATTAAATAATCTAAAGTAATTAGGTGGCAGCACAAAGGCCTTTTTTTATCAGAGATACTGTGATTTTCCTCTTAAGCTTACAGCTTTTATTAAACCTCAAATTATTAAAGTGGGTTGTAATGCACACTGGGCAAAATAGAAAGGGGCCAGTTCTATGTCTCCTGTTCTACTGGGCCGATTGACAAAATTCAAATTGCGTTTTTCATGTCCCGAAAGTGCGACTTAGGATATATATTAGATTTATATCTAGCATTGTTCTAACATAGGTTATTTTGACACAAAATCGGACTGTTTCTGAAATAACATATCAATTTTTTCCCATATTTTGATTCTGCAACTCAAATTATGCCTAGATATTAAATTTTGTAAAATTTGGTGCCAAATTTATGGAGAGATTCAAAAATTTGTCTTGGCACAATTTTTAAGTTTTTGCCAAGAATAATTCACTTGCCGAACTTCTTAATATGTGGCAACCAATTTTCCTTTCCCTTCCATTATGCTGGAGCGGAAAAAAAGATACCTCGTTCCTACCTTTTTACATTGTGCATGAACAGAAAAAAAGTCACGTTGTTTCTACTTCCAAATAATTTTTTTAGCAAAGTGTGTAAACCACATTTGATGTTTTATCACTTTCAACAAATATGCCAAATTTCAAAATGGACCATTATATAAATTCACGTATATCTTCAGGAATTTTGAATAATAAACTGTAATTTTTTGCAGGTTTACTTAGAAATACGTCTACTTTAAGATGATGGTAAAAATTGTACAGATTATAATCCAAAAACTTTTTTTTGAAAAGCTTATGAAAATTATTTAAAAATACAAATTTTAAAAATAAATCATAAAAAATGGATGAATTTTATTTGGAATGAACCTAAATTTCGAAATGGGAAAGGAAGACTCAAATAAGTTTAATAAAAAAAGAGAGATTAATAAATATATACCAAACTCAATTAACATTTACAAAACTTGGTAGTTTAGCGTAATTTGAGTCGTAGAATCGAAATATTGAAAAAAATTGGGATCTTATTTCAGAAAAAGGTCTGATTTTGTGTTAAAATACCTATATTAGAACAATGCTATATATAAATCTGATACATATCCTAAGTCGCGCTTTCGAGACACGAAAAACGCAAGTTGATTTTCGTCAATCAGCCTGGCAGAACGGGAGATATAGAACTGCCCCCCCTTTTTTGCTCAGTGTACATCACCAATTTTTTTTTATTTTTTATTATTATTTTTTTTTATTATTATTTTTTATTAAGAAAACAGCATTGAAGGGGAATGATATGGTCTCCAAGCAGAATAGCACCACAGAAGTCAGTAGTATGTTATGGGACATTCTATTTTATAGAACCTAAATATAAGATAGTTTAGTTTTCATTATTATTATATACTTCATGTTATTGAATTATCAATAGTACATGTATATAGTGTAGAACTTCTGTATCATTTGAACTTCTGTTAAGGGTTACCTCAATTTAAATCAGAGTACTTTGCTTATTATACTTTTCCTCATTTTTAGGGAAGTTCTTTGAGTGCTGTTTTATAATTATATGCTATTTTTTACTCAATTAACTTATTTTATTGCTTTTCTAAAATTGTGCAATTTATGTTTTCACTAAATTCTATAAAAATTCTTCATGTTGATCTTCCTGTATGTCACAATCATTTTTATTCTTCCGTAATTTAGCAATGCAGTATTGGCATTGAAAAGATGTATGAGAGAACAGTTAGCTGATTTTATTCTTTTTTAGGAGTAAAATATTAATTTTTAGTATTTTTGTTGATTTTTTTAAAAATTTTCTGCTGCATAGAAATAGGTGATATTTTCATTCATATCAATGATTATTATAAAATAATCTTTCTCATTAAATAGAATATGATAACAATCTTTCTCATTGAATAGATTTTTTAAATGAAATATAGTGCTGTATTTAATGTAAAGTTACATTTTGTATTTCTAAATGTTTGGTTTACAGGCTTTAGGTCATATTCCAAACTCTGTGCGTCTATGGAAGGCAGCTGTTGAACTGGAAGATGCTGAAGATGCTAGGATTCTTTTAAGCAGAGCTGTAGAGTGCTGCCCAACAAATACCGACCTCTGGCTGGCATTGGCTAGACTTGAAACATATGAAAATGCCCGTAAAGTATTAAATAAAGCTCGAGAGAACATTCCTACAGACCGACTTATTTGGATTACTGCAGCAAAATTGGAAGAAGCTAATGGAAATAGCAGAATGGTTGAAAAAATTATTGATCGTGCTGTCACATCACTTAGAGCTAATGGTGTAGAAATCAACAGAGACCAGTGGTTAAATGATGCAGTTGAGTGTGAAAAAGCTGGTTCAGTGCTTACTTGTCAAGCTATAGTTCGTACTGTGATAGGTATTGGTGTTGAAGATGAAGATCGGAAGCATGCTTGGATGGAAGATGCTGAATCGGTATGTTCTTTCATGTAAATTAGAATTAAATATAAAATTATAAATCTTTGAATTTTATTTATGGTTTTTCTTTTTCCATCTTCCCCTTTTCCATATTTTAGGTAAATTTTATTTCATACTCTGCATGCATATTCTTGTTGCTCTTTCATAAAATATATTGAGGAAAATGAATGGTACCATATACATCATTCTTTTGAATTTTCTATCATTTTGGTTTAAAATAACTTTCTAATTATAGTTTCATTAGTTTTTAGAAATTACAGTTGTTGTAGGAGCCTTTTATGCTATAATTTCTAATAGTTTTTAGGTAATACAATTTATATGTCTTCTTATCATTACTTAGTAAAATTCAGTGTCTTTATTCCATAAATTCTAAATTTATGAATTTCTTGATATCTTAGAATATGTAACATTACATGTAAATACGACTGTTACTTGTTATATGATTATGACTGTTACTTGTTATATGATTGAAGCTTCACAATGCTGCTTTTCTGTAAAATAGAAAATAATTATTTCCTCATGTGCAAGGTAGGTTTAAAAAAATAATAAAGACTGTTTTTTTGAAGGGAGGGGGAGCAAATTTTAATAGATAGATAAAATACAATATAGTATATGTATATAATAATAAATAATCCAATAATAAGTGAAGTTAAACTGCATGTTGATTATACAGCATGGATTATTTAGTTATTTATGCTGCAGGAATTAATTTATTAGTTATACTGTATGAGTTATACTTTTAGTTAGTTATACTGCATGAATTAATTTATTAGTTATGCTGTATGAGTTATACTTTTAGTTAGTTATACTGCATAAATTAATTTATTAGTTATGCTGTATGAATTATATTTTTAGTTAGTTATACTGCATAAATTAATTTGTTAGTTATACTGTTAATTAGTTACACTGCATGAATTAATTTATTAATTGTACTGCATGAATTAATTTATTAGTTATACTTCATGAACTTGTACATGCTGTAAAACTTCATGCTTTTGATATTTCTCAATGAAAGAACCAAGACTTTCAAGATGTTTCCCCTTTTATGATGCCATTTCTAATGTACCGATCTAATACTGTAAAATATAGTAGTTCTACAAGCTATGCCTTCAGTATTTCTACAATATTATAGCAAACAAGTTTGTTTCATTACATGGAGTCATACAGGATGTTGTAAGTGTGTGTACACCAATGGAAAAATTCATTTGTTTCAGCAAAAAGTTTCCCTGTATCAAAATGAAATTAATGCTTCTCGTAAGTACTGATACACATATGGAAAAAATTTATTTGTTTGTCTCAGCAAAAAGTTTCTGTGTATTAAATTAATGCTTCATTCTTCAACACAAAATGCTATCCACAAAATGGATGTATGAATCTTAGAACTAATGTGATTAGTCAACAAATTCTACACTCGAGGTATTCTGCTTAGCTTTTTGCTGTACTAAACATTTATTTTGGGCCTGCACAATATTTTGACCATCTATTCAAAGTATCTAAAAATAGAAAGGAAAGAAAAGTATTCTGCCATCGTTTTACTGTGGCATACTAGTGCTTAAAAATTCAATCTCAGTGTTTATACTAAATTTATTTCAAGGATCATGTCACATGTTTTTCATCTACTTCAGCCTTACATATAAACAGAGATGTCATTGATGGAATAAACTGCACTTGTTTTCAGTAAATAAGAAATTTGTTAAATAAGAAAGTGCTATGAGTTTTCCGCTTAGATTGATGCCTTTCATTTGAATTTAAAATTTATAACTGATTTAGCAATTTTGAAAAAATATATTAATTGTTTAAAAATAAGTAAAATGTAACAAGATTAAAAAAAAAATGATTTTGCAGTCATAAAATGTGTGAGTACATTAAGTATTGTTATCTTCGTAGAAAGAATTAAATGTAAAATGCAAATTAAATAATTTTGAAAACTAGCATACAAAATGATAAAGAAGTAGATAATAATAGTTATTATTTTTTATGTGTAAAATTATGTGAAATAATTATGAGTAGAAGCCTTCAAAGTTTATATTGTGTGCAAAGGGTAAAAGGAAGAATATACATTCAGTTATTCATTACATAATTATAATATTCATCCACTATAACATGAATTACCCATTTTGCTTTTTAATTACATTACACATATTCAATTTCTTTGTAATTATTCAATTTTAAAATTATTTTAGCATATACTATTACCAAGGTAACAACATTAAATGTACTCGCACATTTTATAACTGCAAAATCATTTTTTTAAAAATCCTGTTACATTTTACTTATTTTTAAACAACAATTAATATGTTTTTCTGAAATTGCTAAATCAAAATTATAAAATTTAAATTTAGATCAATGGCATCATTCTACCTTGAAAACTCATAGCACTTTTATCAATTTCATATTACTGAGAATTTATTCCATTGATGAAAATCTCTGTTAATTTATATCTAAAACAGAAGTAGATGAAAAAGGTTAATGGATTATAAACATACCTCCATTTTGTAGATACATTTCGTGTTGAAGATGATTATTTGGACTTTCTCAGCCAGAATGAAAAGTAGTTCTAAATTCATGCAGTACAATTAATAAATTAATTCATGCAGTGTAACTAATTAACAGTATAACTAACTAAAAGTATAACTCATGCAGTATAACTAATTTAATTCATGCAGTATAACTAACTAAAAGTATAACTCATACAGTATAACTAACTGCAGTATAAATAACTAAATAATTCATGCAATATAATCAACATGCAGTTTAACTTATTATTGGATTTTTCTTAGGGACCAAACAGATGAAAACTTATTTAAGTTTCTGAATTTCAGTTGGATTTATTTGCTTAGATCACATAAAAAACCACAGATCATTGCTATTCTGTTATAGAAATGACTAGCACATGTAATATTTTTTTTCATTGCTCACAGATCTTCTAATGGGGTAATAGTTAATCATGTAAAACCAATGTGTGGTACAATAAACAAATTAATGGTCTCTCAACTTGTAGTATACTACTTGCAAAGCCAAACAAGAGTTTATATATCTAAGAGTTCTGTATTATTAAATTCATGTACAGTAGAATTTCAATAATTAAGAAAATTTGGAGAACCAAAAGTTATGCGGGCAAGTTTTTCAGACACTAGATTGTATTTTCCTGAGTTTTGTTTACCATTTCTTTTTCTAGTTTTTACATTAATTCTGAATTTTTTCACATCAATAATTAAGCAGCACCTTTATAATTATTCAGCTAAAACTCGCTGAATGCAAAAGGAAGGCACAGCACCGAGAAGAAAGGATAAATGATGAAGAAATCTATTTCAAAACTCTACTGAAGGTGGAAAGAAATAAATTCGCCTACCTCTTTTTTTTTTTTTTTTCCCTGTGCATATGTGTCACTGGCCACCAGATTAAATTTTCTTTTTCTGGTAATCTAATCTTCTAAAGAATAGTAATCCAGTGATGAACATGAGATTGCAAAAACAACATTTAATGAAGATATTCTCAAATATACAATGCATAAAGGATTGCATTTAAGTTAATTGATTGCCAGTACTGCCTTCAGTATTTAATTAAACTTTTCAAATGCATGGCATAGCATGTAATGCCCTTTTGCTTTTTCAGCAATCTGCAGTGAGCTCAATGTTAAAAAAATTACTGTGCTCCTGCAATGATATCACAACGGCAACAAGATCTCTTGAATTGCAAGAGCTGTTTTATAAACATGCATTATAAAGTATTTTATGCAAAAAGGTGTGCATTAACCAAAGAAATTACTTCCAAGTAATTTTTACTCTTATTAAATACATAAATATATTGCTTAGAAAAACTCTAAAAGTGTTCCTTGCATGTGCAGTTGGATATAAGCGATAAATAAAAAGTGCTAGTATTAGCTATTTTCTCTATGCAATATTTTTCATTTATAAAGCCAAAAACCCTTATTCACCATTGATATAAACAAGTTTGCTTGTTGTGAGGAATGTAAACAACCGGTTGAGACTCAACATTTAAAAAGTTGGGAACAAATAAGTTTTTTACACATACTAACTGTATAAAGTTAGAATTAATTTTAAAAGACAGCAGAATATACACCCAAAACTAGTGATTAATTAAATATAAATATAAATATAAATATATGTATATATATATGTAGGGATACATGATCTGTGTTTGCTGTAAACAGAGAGGTCTGTGTTTACTACAAATCAACAGCAAATGGTAAATAAAAGAAAATGATTTCACTTCTTCAGTAAAAATATGTTATAAATATAGTGTACTTTTCTGTTAGAAATTTTATTTGCATATTCTAACGTCTTAAGCTATTTTATCGACTCTCACAAAGTTCTCAGAAAAGGAATGACCACCTCAAAAGTTCCCACGGACAGAGTATTTCTTAGCGAATTCTAGGAAAGAGGAAGTGACCAGCAGTAACAAAACAATCTCAGCTTTTTGTTCTTCTTATAGTTGTTCGAAGGGAGATATTGTTCAGTTCCCTTTCATCAGTTTATAGGTTCAGTGTCTCGGACCACCCGGTTTGAGACTCCCAGTTGGAATCGAAAAGTTCCCACGGACTTTTTCACAGGCTGTCTTCATCATATCCAGTTGTTAATCACAGTGCTCTTGCCAATCAAGAGGTGCTTCTAAAAATTACGGACAAATAAGGATCCTGGAAGTTTTTCCCAACATGCCCAGGACAATTTGAACAAAATCTTGGAACACAGTTCCAGAGAGGAGAGAAAAAGTGAGAGTTAGTTGCAGTAAGGAGAGAGAGAAACATTCTCTCGGTCTTTTTTTCAGCTCAGCCACGAGCAAATTTTTGCTTCGCTCTGTGTAGAGCAATACTAATATCTGCATGAGATACAGCGAGGTAGCCAGGTTCGCCGCTATCTAACCAAGAGCATCCTGCTCAGACACAGCTCAATCTGGCAACCACCGGCTTAGAGATTTGATTTATTCAAGACAGCTTTATCTTGAGCCTATCTTCATCTTGAACTATTTCTAAACAAGAACTTTCATCTAAACAGGAACTTATTCACCCTACTGGGAGAACAATATTTTATAAGTTATTATTTATTTATTTTATTTTATTTTTTTATTTATTTATTATTATTTATTTTTTCATATAGCCTAGAAAAAACAGAAATAAAACCAGTTACGCTACCTCTTGTCTTTCGAATTCGTCACAATATGCATAGAGAAAAAAATTGTCTTGAAATTTGCCATGCTGATTTTTTTCAAAATCAGAATTTGGTTTGTTATAAAAAAGGAGCATGAATCGTAGGTATTCACAAGTTATCATAATTCTTTGTGTACAATATTTTTTTCACTATGGTAATAATGCTCTTAGTGAGACAGCCTTAGTCATAAGTAGGCTGGAGAGTGTAAGAAAAAAAGGAAAAGGGGGAAAAACAGTGCTATCCTTCTCACTTATGAATTTAATAAATCTTCTTGCAGTGAAAACTATGTTAATTATACTTAATATTTATAATTTCTATTAGAATGACTTTTGCATGCAATATACAACATATTTCTGCAGATAAAACAATAGCTAAATCATAAAAAAGGACACCCAAATCCATTTTCAAAAAAATTAGATTGAAATTTATATAAATTAAAACTATTATGAAATAAAACAAGTCACTCATCACTATTTAAAATCCTGCAAAATACTCACATTTATCATCTAAGGCTAATAGCTCCTCAAGTACATCCTCACTTTTGTTGTGAAGAAGCTTGTCATATGGGTCCCATTCTGTACTTAAGCAAGTTGATTTCCACTTTGTCATCAGTATCCCATAGCAAATCACTTTAATTGCCATCCATAGCGTTAGAAATTACACATTTTTTGAAGGATTTGGTCACTGTTTCCACTTTTACATCTTTCCATCATTTGATCAGAAAATCACACAGCATATCTAGTGATGCAGGCTGCATAGTTTCACCTTTTCTGTACAATTTTTCACCATTCATCATCCAGTTATTCCATTGCTCATGCATGTGATCTTTGAATTGTTTATTCAGAGAGGTAGCTAAAGTTTGTAGCAAGGAAGCTAAACCACTTGGTGTAAGTAATCTTAGCATTGTTCCGTGCTAAACAATTTTTAGTGCTTTCATTTGCATGAGAACAAAATACATCCCACACCTACAAACTGTGTTGATTTCATAGAGCACCTGGTTGCCTCAACCATGCATTTTCCATCCACAGTTTTCATGAAAATGCCTGGGGGTGGATTTTATTTTAGGAATAGTTTTCCTCTTGAAAATGACCATGGTTTTTAATTATGTTCCATTAACTATGCTTATTATTAGTACTGTAAAACTGGTTTCTTCTGGCTCGTACTTCTGACTTGAACAGTTTTTTTGCCTTTTATTTTCACAGTTCTCTAGTTTATCAAGTTGAAGTTCATTGGTGTTTTACCCTATCCTGTCCTTCTATTTGTACTGTAATATTTGATAATGGAAAGTTGTGTTTTTGCCTCATACCAGTAACAAATTTTTGAAAACTCTTGACTTTATGGTCAAGATCTCATGGTAATTTCTGTGTAATTCTTATTTACTGTCATATAACCAGATTTTTTTCTGTTGATGAAACAATTGCACCAACCTACTGTTGCTTTAAATTTTTTTCCTTATTTTGGATGGGCCCATGCCCACTTCAATGCATAAGCCTTAGTCATATTTCTTGTAACAACATAGCAATTCTGCCTTTGTACCCATTCTGCAAAGTTATTTTGTAAATCTGCTGAGTAATATTCCTTTCCTCATAGAGCATTTTTTCTTAGACATTTCTTTAATAGTGTCTTCATTCATTCTCCAATTTCTTACCATCTTCTCTTTTATATCAAAAGCCCTCGCTGCAGCACAGTTGTTGGACTTTTTAGCCTGTTTAATGACTTTTAACTTGAAGCTTGCTTCATATTTCTGTCTTTATGTTGGTTTTATGGTTAGGTCATAAAACCAACATAAAGACAGAACTGATTACACTTATAATACAAATTGTTTGAACACATGACACAATCTACAATGTAACTTGTTAAAGATACACAGGAGTTTGTGATTTAGCATGTACTTCTGCAGGCAGTGCTCCTAGATGCAAGAAAATAAAATTTGTTCCAGTTGATGATCACTGATCTGAACTAAATTCATAGGCCATGAATAGTTTGTGGGTCATCTTATAGACAGTGATATGCTAAAACTATGAAACTTTGACAAAAATTTATAACTTGTCTTATCTGGAGAAATGTATGGTAGCTCCTTTTCAAGCAGAGAAATGTATCTTTTTCTTCTGAAGTTAAGAAATATCTATAGTACTATTATTTCTGTGGTGTATTTGTAATTTCAAGATGAAAATTAGTTTTTTATTGTAATGTATTTTTCAGTGGTACCTGAATCACAGACATTAAGCAAAATAGTAAGGCATATATGTATTTTGCTTTAAGTGTGTATATCTGATGTAGTAACACGAGATATTAACTTACAAAATTCATAATTAAACAAAAAATATTTGCAGCATCTGTGTCATAACTTATTAAAATGGCAGGAATTTAAAATTCTCTATTTTATAAAATTTTGAAGAATTGGAATTAATAGGTTATTTATATTTTTGAATTGTTTTCTTATCACTGCAACAAAGAAAAATTTGTATTTTTTTAATATGCATTTTATGACAGTATGTGAATTAACTGATGTGGAAGAAAAGGGAAAGTATTACTGTTCTTCTCATATGTTATTAACTCTTTCACAATAAAGTTGCTTGTAATGCCCGTGCATTCAGACATTGACAGGTCACCTACATCAATTTTCTACCTGGTGCTTTCCCTCCCTATCATGTTAGTAACAGGCTTGTTGGTTTTGTGAGTTGTTAATAACATGCTAGTCATTTTTTTAAGCAAATTTCTCCCCCTTTGTTTCTTCTCCATTTAGCTATTGATCTTGCAGTTAACATTTAGCTATTGATCTTGCAGTTAATGTTTAGCTATTGATCTTGCAGTTAATGTTTAGCTATTGATATTGCAGTTAATGTTTAGCTATTGATCTTGCAGTTTAGCACTTGCAATACTATCCTAAGGGGAAACTGCACAAAGATCTCGTAGAGAAAAGTAATCACTTCCCTTAAGTAGCTTATTGTTAATGTTGTAGCATTCTGCTTGCCAAAGGGGAACATATTTTTGCCCCTCCCTGCAAAAGAGTTAAATCATTCATATACGGTGGCATTTCAGATGTTTGAGGGAAGTAGACTGTGGCCTCTTTTGATACAAAAGAGTTAAATCATTCAAAATAATTTTGTTCCCTTTTTTCTAATTTATTTTTAGTGTGCCACACAAGGTGCTTATGAATGTGCCAGAGCAATTTATGCCCATGCTTTGTCCATGTTTCCGAGCAAAAAGAGTATATGGTTAAGAGCTGCATATTTTGAAAAAAATCATGGAACAAGGTAAGTTATTACAAATTATGTAAGTTTTCCAAAGTTTAAAAAATTGATTGAATATTTTGAAATTTTTATATCATTAATTTTTATTAGTTTGAGGATTCTACTATAATTTAAAAAAGTACAATTTGTATTTGAAGAAGCTAGAGCATTAAAATACATGTGTTAGCCTTTTATTTATTTGTTTATTTATTTATTATGTACACTGCGCAAAAAAAAAAAGGGGGGGGACAGTTCTGTATTTCCTGTTCTACTGGGCTGATTGACGAAATTCTAATTGCGTTCTTCTTGTCTCGAAAGCGCGACTTAGGATATATATTAGACTTATATATAGCTCTATTCCAACATAGTTATTTTTACATGAAATCGGACTTTTTCTGAAATAGCATACCAATTTTTCCCATATTTCGATTTTACGACTCAAATTATGCCTAAATATTAAATTTTATTAAATTTGGTGAGAAATTTGCAGAGAAATTCACAAATTTATGTTGCCGTCTTTTTTTTCAGTTTGCACCAAGAATAGTTCACTTAGCAAACTTCTTATTATATGGCAACCTATTTTCCTTTCCCGTGAGCAGAAAAAAAAGTTACAATCATTCCTTTTTTCAAATAATGTTCTTTATATTATATTGTTAATTATAACTTTTATTATTTTAAGTAATTTTTCCTTTTTCGAATTTCGTTTTAATTGTTTAAGTTGCATGGTTTCTTTCGAATAACTGTTTTAAAAATTTCTATTTACACACTCGAACTGCGAAGTTTAAATAAAAGGTGCATCATTTATTTTTTTCAAATAGTTTTCTTTACACACTCAGACAAAAAAAAAAAAAAAAAAAAGCACCAAGAAGAAGTTATCTGAATGGGACGAAAATCGGTAGAAGTGGTATATGTACAGAAGAACAAATTATTACAGTTTGAGAAAAATTGGATGATTTATTGAAGTGATAGAGCTTCACAAAGTGAAAATGTCAGTAATGCGTTTGCCCACCTCTGGCCCTTATGCAAGCAGTTATTTGTCTTGGCATCGATTGATAGAGGTTGCAGATGAGGAATATCGTGCCAAACTCTGTCCAATTGGCGCGTTAGATTGTCAACATCCCGAGCTGGTTGGAGGGCCCTGCCCATAATGCTCCAAATGTGCTCAATGTTAGAGAGATCGGGCGACCTTGCTGGCCAAAGTAATGTTCGGCAAGCACTAAGGCAAGCAGTAGAAACATGTGCAGTGTGGGAGCGGGCATTATCTTGCTGAAATGTTAGGCCAGGGTGGCGTGACGTGAAAATCGTGACGAATTTATGATGACCTGAAATCGTAATTTCTCCTCTTAAATATCCTGCCATTTGCGCAGATCAGATGCACTGTAGCGACAACCGTTCATTCATTGGCAGCCAAAATGTAAAATTTTGTATTTTCCATCAAAACCTGTATGCATATCAATTTGTGTTCAGTTTGCTTTATATCTTCTCGGTGCGTCGTCTTTTTTTTTTTTTTTTTTTTTTTTTTTGTCTAAGAGTGTATTTTTTTGGTCATAGTTATTATTTTAGGTAATTTTTAAATTTTTAGACTTTTAATTGTTTTTGTCACTTCAGATAATTGTTTTAAAATTTTCTATTTATTCATTCAAATTGAGCATTTTAAATATATTTATTAATATAAATTTTCAAGGATTTCATTTTATTTATTTGAATTTCATTTCTTTTGGAAGACTACTTTATGTCCCAGACTACGATGCATCTGAAAACTGAATATATTAAAAGAGAAAATACAGTAAAGCACAGTTAACACACCTTTCAATGTTCCGTTCAGAAAAGATATGTAAATGAGAAAGATGTATAACTGGCATTTCAACTTAGGATGACTTGCATATATTGCTTTAAATAGCTGTAGAAGCATTAGGTATTTTTTGGAAGCAGAGGAGATGAAAAATTAGCAACACCTTCGCCGATAATCGAACCACGGACTTTTCAATTATTTGCTGAGTGTGCTGACCACTACACCTCGAAGAGAGAAGGCAGAAGAAATAACCTTATATATTCCCCCTTTTAAAGGGCGACTGGGCTTTTAGGGGACCCAGTCGCAAAATCCTGGCTGGGGAGAATCATCATCCACCACACTTTTTAGTTCAGGCACCACTGTATAGACATTAAGGTATTTCTTGGAAGCAGGCAATATGAAAAATTAGCAAACGCCTTCGCCGTGAATCGAACCACGTACCCCTGGAATACGGGCCCAGTGTGCAAACCACTGCACTACGAAGTCACGCTAGGAAGGCTGGAGAAATACTGTCTGCATCCAGAATAAAATCAATTTTAATTGTGATGAATTTTCTTCTCCTTCTTCCTCTCTCTCTCTCTTCCCCCTTTTTTTTTTTTAAGCTTATAACTTAGTAGCTCCGTTTTTATTTTGCCCAAGCAGAAATATACATTTTTAATTTTTTATATTTTTTTATGTATACAATTTCATGTTCAAAATGAAATGAAAAAACAGCTAGAGCTTTCAAAATTGATTTTTTTTTTTTTTTTTTTTTAAATTTTGTACGACATTTTTTTAAAACTTTTAATGGTAATTTTTTTTATGTATTTAGACTGTAATCTGAAGGTTTAAGCTTACAAGATTTTTATTTATTTTTTTAATCATGTTAGTAGATTTGTGGAACTGTGGTATAAGGATCATGCATAATGTAAACTATCTGCAATGTAACTGTGTACATTGGATGCATTTTTGGTGCTGATAAATCATTCATGTTTGCTGTGCAGTTTTTTTTTTTTTTTTTTTAGTTTAGTTCTCTTGACAAATTTCGTGATCTGAGATAAATATCATTATTATTCATAATAGCAAATTCATGATTAATATTTTTGGATAAAATTTTACTTTTCAATTTAATTCATTATTAATAATGCATAATAATTTGCTATGTATTAAAAAAGTATCAAGTATAATGAGATTTTTATTAAAGTGAAACTTTAAAAAAAATATTTATGAGGAAAAAAATTTTCACCAAACATTTTTTTTTTTAAAGATGATTATCTATTGAGTGAAAATGGTTTCTTTAATATTTTAGTTTGGGCATAATTTTCTAAATAATGCATAGACACTTTTAATTTTATTTGGACAAAAAAATGTATGTATATCAAGAACAAGGTTAAATTTTAGTCTACTCAGTGGTGGTTACCTAACACAAAGAAAGCAAACATCCTAAAGCACAAACTTCTATAATCCTGGCCTTAAATGCCAACATTACAGCATAAGCAAAATATATTAATTAGGTTGATACTTCTTTTTTTTGTTTCTTCCCCAAAGAACAGCTAAGAGTGCAACAGGATAGTTAGATTATATTTGGATTAATTGCTAATAAATTGGAAAAAAAAAAAAAAAAAAAGCATTCGACTAATACTAAAGTAAAATCAATTTAAATTAAAACATTTATTAAAATATAATCTGCCATAATGTGACCAGCAAGAAAAATATGTCATTTTCCATATTACAATTAATTATAATTTAGAGAAAGCCTAAAATGAAGTTAAAAATATGGATGAAAATTTGGGAAATTAATTGCATTGTATAAACGCAATGATATCACTTACAATTAAAGCAAAGATTCTGTAATTGGAACAGTTCAAAAAAAAAAAAAAAAAAATCGTAACTATTACTTAACATTTAAAACTCCAAGATATTTAAGACAGTAATACTTTTGAAGATGTTGAAACATGGAAAGAATAATGGAGTTTGAGAGTAGTGGCTTCTGCAAAATAGAGCAAAATGGCACGAGGTATTCTAAGGGGTAAAATCAGTTGTAGAAACTGATGTTTGATGTTAAATTATTATGAAAAAGCTTAAAATGTGATATAACAAAATCTCAGGGTGAAACAGCTGTAGAAACTTTGAAAAATAAGCTTACCACCAAAATATAAATGACAAAATTACACTTCCCAATAGAAATGGAAACATGAGCAAAGAAAGACTAACTCTAGTTCTTACCAGATTCCAAACGATGACATATCACAGTGAAAATATGGAGGAATGAATCAAGTATCAATTTATAAATTTTAGTTAAGGTGTAGTTTTCCTTACTGCTCTCTAAATTGTGTGTGTAATCTATTTTTCCTAATGGCTAAGTATATATGATAATTTTTGTTTCTATGTTTGTTTCTGTCGATTCACCACACATGTATTCATTTATTTTGTATTGTATTTTGCAACATATTTCAAGCTATGGGGACATACAGAGCTTTTTAAGACTAAAGGGAAGAAATTTATACTTTATTGAAATAAATAGCAGTTTATACAAGATTAATAGCTATGAATAGCTCAAAAAGAAAATAAAGATAAGGCTATTTTTTTTTTTTAATTCAAGAAATATCACAAATTAACAAAATCATTCACATAGCAAAGCTCAAGTACAATTGTGTAATTCCTTAACTAAATTATCAATCTAACTAACTGAGGACTTCATACTTAGTCATATTTATGGGCTGGATCAACAAATCTGGAAACTTCTGAGAAAATCACTTCTGGGGCTTCAAAAATATGTTTTCTAAAAACCTAAAACATTTCTCAATTCAGAATTACAAGATCTATAACATATTATGCAAAACAGACACAAACACAACAAGTAGCACAAATTGAGTGAAACAAAATTGTACTGTAAAATTTTTGCATAATACATGCCAAATAAGCAAATAATTAAATGAAAACAATATGTAAACACTATGAAAATACACCAAATCCAAAATAAACAATATTCTAAAGTTTTTATATAACTTTTTGTGAGCTGCACAGGAAGATCTTTATTATTATTATTAATTTTATGCCTGTTTTCCTCATGTAAGTGAATGTATATAAAAATTTCTATGTATATTCTAAGGGGTAAAATCAGTTGTAGAAACTGATGTTTGATGTTAAATTATAATGAAAAAGCTTAAAATGTGATATAACAAAATCTCAGGGTGAAACAGCTGTAGAAACTTTGAAAAATAAGCTTACCACAAATATAAATATAAATGACAAATATAAATGACAAAATTACACTTCCCAATAGAAATGGAAACACGAGCAAAGAAAGACTAACTCTAGTTCTTACCAGATTCCAAAAGATGACATATCATAGTGAAAATATGGAGGAATGAATCAAGTATCAATTTATAAATTTTAGTTAAGCTGTAGTTTTCCTTACTGCTCGCTAAATTGTGTGTGTAAACTATTTTTCCTAATGGCTAAGTATATATGATAATTTTTGTTTCTATGTTTGTTTCTGTCGATTCACCACACATGTATTCATTTATTTTGTATTGTATTTTGCAACATATTTCAAGCTATGGGGACATACAGAGCTTTTTAAGACTAAAGGGAAGAAATTTATACTTTATTGAAATAAATAGCAGTTTATACAAGATTAGTAGCTATGAATAGCTCAAAAAGAAAATAGAGATAAGGCTCAAGTATATAGCAAAGCTCAAGTACAATTGTGTAATTCCTTAACTAAATTATCAATCTAATTAACTGAGGACTTCATACTTAGTCATATTTATGGGCTTGATCAACAAATCTGGAAACTTCTGAGAAAATCACTTCTGGGGCTTCAAAAATATGTTTTCTAAAAACCTGAAACATTTCTCAATTCAGAATTACAAAATCTATAACATATTATGCAAAACAGACACAAACACAACAAGTAGCACAAATTGAGTGAAACAAAATTGTACTGTAAAATTTTTGCATAATACGAGTACATGCCAAATAAGCAAATAATTAAATGAAAACAATATATAAACACTATGAAAATACACCAAATCCAAAATAAATAATATTCTAAAGTTTTTATATAACTTTTTGTGAGCTGCACAGGAAGATCTTTATTATTATTATTAATTTTATGCCTGTTTTCCTCATGTAAGTGAATGTATATAAAAATTTCTATGTATATTTTAAGATAGTTTCCTTTGTTCATTCTGTATCAAAAGTTAATAAATTTATTTTAATTTTTAGAGAATCTCTTGAAGCAGTGTTGCAACGAGCTGTTGCACATTGTCCTAAAGCTGAAGTATTATGGCTGATGGGTGCAAAATCAAAGTGGCTTGCTGTAAGTAATTGTGGCCTTACACATTTGTTATTTTAAATGCTTGAACTGTTATGTCTGCCACATGTAGCATATACAAATTATTTCTTCAAATTCATATTTTTTGAATGATAGAAAGGAGCTGTAATTATTTTGATGTCGAAAGAGTAATTAAATTTTTAAAACGTTTTAAAATAGCATACAACAAAACATCATTAATTTGATTCATTTATAAATATTGGGTCATATAAAAAGCCTCCACACTTTTTTGGTACGTTTTTGAACAAAAATTTTGTTTATTGAAAATCAGTTTTAATCAAGTGCATATTGACCAGTATTATCTATGACCTTTTGCCACTTTTCAGGTAGCTTCATGATTCCATCGGTGTAGAACTTCTGTGGTTTATCGTTGAAAAACTTGGCCAAGTGATTTTCAGCGGCGCATCGCTTGGCCAATTTTTTACCATCAAGAGAGTTTTGTAGAGTCCGAAACAAATGGTAGTCAAACAGAGCAAGGTCCGGGCTATATGGTGCATGCATCAAAACTTCCTAACCATGCTCCATCAATTTGTTCCGAGTCATTAAAGATGTGCGTGGCCACGCATTGTCATGATGGAACACAACTCCCTTTCTGGTGGCTAACTCTGGTCACTCTTTCTGGATTGCTTCGTTCAAACTGTTGAGTTGTGCACCGTACAGGGCCGAATTTATGGTTTCTCCTAGTTGCAGCAGCTCATAATGGACAATTCCTTTTCAATCCCACCAAACATTCAATATAACCTTATTTGGTGACAATCCAGGCTTTGAAGTTGTTTGTGGAGTGTCACTGGCCTTTGACCGTGATCACTTGCATTTGATATTCTTTTATTTCACCCATTTTTCATCATCTGTAATAATTTGCTCCAAAAATGGTTCGATTTTGTAGAATTTTAGCAGCATTTCACTGATGGTAATTCGGTTCAATCAAATTTCTTTCCATCGCTGAACACTGGTAGTTCGGTCCGAGGTTCGAATCCCGCGGACGGGCTGGCTGCATGGGCGTTTTCGTGGTTTTCCCCATGTGTAACGTGTATACGAGCCAGTTTCCCTTAGAAAGTCCTCCACGAAAGCATCCCTCCTCTTAGGCAGATAGCCCTCGAGGCTTTGCCATATTCACACACACACACCACACACACACAAATTTCTTTCCATTAATTCATGTGGCACCCTAACATCAATCTTCTTTTTTGTACCTGCTCTTTTCAAATGATTCCAAATAATCATGTTTTTGATGTTTAGTGCCTCCTTTATTTCCATGTTTAGTGCCTCCTTTATTTCCTGACAGCTTGCATGCCGGTCTTGCTCCACCAGTTACAAAATTTTATCGACTTTTTCAGTGACTGGCCAACCAGAGCGATGTGCATTTTTGACATAGAAATTTCCAGAATAAAATCAAGCAAACCACTATTGGGTCCTTCGTTTACTCACAGCATTCTCACTGTACACTTCAAAAAATGTTCAGCATATTTTTGCAGTATTTTTACTTTTTTTATAGAAAAAAAGCAGTTCTTCAGACATTTCACTCAGTTTTAAATTCATCTAACTTTTTACACGAGCAGCGAATTAAAAAACTATCTTCACAAACAATGGAAGCTGAATATCACCTTTTAAGCACATGTTCGTTTGAGACAATCGGGTGAGTGTTGCCGGATATATAGGCATCAACCCATCTAGTCGCAAAAAAGTGCAGAGACTTTTTATATGACCCAATATCATATGTTTCTAATCATCATTGAGTTTTTAGCTGGCTCTCAATTCACTTTAACCCTTTGATTGCTAATTTTTTTAATCAAAATTGCATATTTGTAATTACATATTTCAAATCAACATATATTTGAGATTTAAAATATGTAGCACATTTTTGTAAGCAAGATTTTTTTAAATATAGATTTCATGCTTAAGAATAGACTTTCATAAAAATCCATTTTAAGTATAATCGTATAAAAATAAAAATTCTGAAAATAAATATTGATTAATAATGATTAATCACCATTGCCAAACATTTTGGTGGTTATTGAACCATTTTCAGATTCATTACTATCTGGAGATGAGTCTGAGAAATAATAATCTGTTTCACTATTGCTATCTCCAAAATAATTAAAATCTCTTTCAATGTTAGAATTATCATCAAGAACATACATCCTATCACTTGCTGCACGTTTCTGCATACCATATTCTGAATATAAAAAATGAAAAGAATAACAATGGTAGCACTTGCAAAATTGTTTATTAAACTTTATGATGAATACAAAGGCAACAACAATGTCATCTTTTGAACAAAACACAACTCAAAGTTAAAATATTGTAAAAAATGTATTATGGATAGTTAAATGGGGAAATGTAGGATATACTTTTTTAATCATTTGGTGGTTGTGAGATCTTCCCAAATACGCATAAAATCTATCAGTCGTTAATTTGTAATGCAAATTGTGTTGCTTTCCCCCTCTGTGGTGCATAACTGGAATGCAAGCTGAGCTCACTTGCTTATTGTGTATGAGATAAACTGATATCATATGTTTATTCAAACTTTTTATTGGTATGTAAATTATGATTGTTTGATTGTAAATATGGAAGAAATTAAAAAAGCTCCAGGAATGTTTTATTTTAAAATGTAGTAAAGGAATTTGTGATTTAATTAGAAAATTAATTGTATTTTGAAGGATCAATTATTAACCTTACTCTAGCAAGATCAATTAACTGTGATTAATTTTTCTTTTTACATTGAAAAACAAAAGTTTTGTAAGTGCTTTACAGTTTTCTTTCTTATTTCATGTAGGGCGACGTTCCTGCTGCCCGTAGTATATTATCGTTAGCTTTTCAAGCTAATCCTAACAGTGAAGAAATCTGGCTTGCTGCTGTCAAGCTTGAAAGTGAAAATAATGAATATGAAAGAGCTCGCCGATTGCTTGCTAAAGCTAGAGCAAGTGCTCCAACTGCACGTGTAAGTATTTTTTGTTTTAATTAATTTTTCTGCTTTATTTGTTGTACTTTCTGGAATTGTTATTTTTGAAAAAGGCAAAATGAATGTTTATAGTAGATATTATCTTTCCCCACTTCTGCTCAGTTTTTTTCCTTTCTATTTTATACAAATAAAATACCTGAGCATATTCTGTGTAGATTTCATTGTTAAATAGTAGGGAAAATTATATACCCAATTTCTTTAATAACTTTTATTTTTTGTGTTTCACTTCTTTGTATTTTTGTCTTGTATCAGAAATTAATATGGATGAATAATGAACTAATCATGATTATAAGTTAAGTGTAAATCACTGTTGTGCTTGTGTGATATTAGATTATTTATTTTATTTTTGGTGTTATGCCAGTGAAAATAAATTGTCAGTAATGTTTCTGAGTGTTGCTCTGAGCACACTAGTGGCTGAGCAGTAAAGTTGCTGAACAATAATAGTTTGGTCCAAGTGTTCTGCATAGGTGTTTTTGTGCTTTTGCCCATATATAATGTGTATGCGAGTTCAATTCCCTTAGAAATTCCTCCACAAATGTATCCCTTCCCTCAGGCAGATAGCCCTGAAGGTATTGCCATAATCACATAAAGCAAACCTGAGTTTTGCTCTCTTTTTATCAAATATAATTTAAAAATTTCTTTTGATTTAAAATATTAACCTGTCATAAAAGGATATTTCATTTTGTAACCATATTTAAAATGTTCATTTTTTGATTGTTTCTGTTTTTAATTCTCCTGATGATGTTGTGCCTATGACAAAGTGCAATTATATAGCTTCGAAGCTGTCAAAGACAGCTTTTGCAACCTTGGCAGCTCTATCAGTATAAAGTAAGTCCACTGGGTCTTCAATGCCGATGTCAAACAGTCTGGCCTGGATTGCTGGGCAGCTGAAGATGTGATGGCGAGACAGTGGGATGTCATCTGGGCAATGAGGACAAATGTTGGAGTAACTACGCTGTCCGTCTGCAGAAATTCTCATCCCTTTTAAGTGATTTGTCCTAAGTCTAGTTATGATAGTCGATATGGCTCTGTCACAGTTCAATTCCGGGATGGAGTTTTCTTTAACTTGACCAATTAGTCTTTGGCTGGCAACTGCATTGGCATCAATAAGGGTTAGGCAGTTGGATGGCTGAAAAGAATCACGGGATGCCATTGCAAGCTCATCGGCCTTCTCATTACCAAAAATATTTACATGATCCGGTATCCATCGTAAGATGCAGAATCTTTGGGCAGCAATGATTTTGTATGTGAGCTCAATGATCTGATGACTGAGTTGACATTTTCCCTTCTGGATCGCTTGCAATGCTGATCTGCAGTCAGAAAAGATGATAATGCTCTTAGAACTCTGGCCTTCTTTAGAGGTCTTTTACATATTCTATAATTCTTATAATTGAAAAAGCGTAACTAAAATTAACATATGGTTGTCAATAACAGAACAGAAACTTGCCTATTTTTATAATGCTAATTAAATGGTGTAGTTTCTGTCTGCACTTTTGTATGTTCAATCAACATACAAATTTTGAATTAAAATTACTGCTACAATCTCCCTAAACTGTTATATTTGGGAATATTAAATGAAACATCATATAATTAAAAATTACATCTTTATACAGGTCATAATGAAATCTGTGCGATTAGAATGGGCACTGGGAGATTTGAAAAAAGCAAATATTCTGCTTGATGAAGGTTTGAAACAGTATCCAGATTTTGCTAAATTGTGGATGATGAGAGGTCAAATTCTGGAACAAGAAGGACGTGTTCATGAAGCCAGAGATGTTTATAATCAAGGAGTAAGCTAATTGGTATTCTTTGTTTGTTCATATATTTAATATTTAATCAGGGTTCGTATGGTCCTTAAGAGTCCTTAAATTTTTTTAAATCGATTTTTTGTCCTTAAAAGTCCTTAATTTCAGCCAAAATCGTCAGAAGGTCCTTAATTTTAATCATCCAAAATTTCAATCATGTTTTTACAACTGCTGTGTATTGAATGTGAATTATCATTTTAGAGAAATATTTTGGCGATTCACTGACAAATATTATTATCTTTTGAATGAGTTCATGGATTATATTTTGTTCCTATTTCTAATATAAAGGGTTGGGTACTTGGAGTTTCTGAGCAAGAAGTGAAACATAAGCATTTCAAAATTATTTCACTTTTTTTCTAATGAAAAGCTTTTAAACAACTTTCCGCTTTTGTAGATGTGAATTCTTTTATAAAATGGCTCGAAATTTGGTGACTTATCAGCATTTCGGCAATTTTAATATCACTTTCTACAAAAAATTTTTAATTCGGAGATCTGGGAATTTTTCGTCGATTTTTTTTAAAAAACATAACATTGATAAATTTAACTAAATTAATGGTAATATATTGAAATTATATTTAGGAAATAACGTTAAAATACAACATTTATATTTTTTTGCTGTCATATTATGAAGAAAGAGACATTACTTTCCCTTTTGGCTAGCACAGTTTACAAAACAATTCATAGCAAAAGCAAAATAGCTATGTAATTAATTAAAAATTTCTTCCTTTCAATTTTTTCATGGTAAAAAGTTTTCCCATTTCCCAGAATTAATAGAAATCTCAGAATTATTAGAATATGCATCTGTTTTCTCTATAAAATTAATTTTGGACTTTTTTCCACTGATTTTTTTTTCAAACTATTTCTGGCCTTTTTTCTATTACAGAATTGGTAGGGCTAATTTTTCATTAGGATTTTAGACATTGCAACTTGGAAAGTTTAGAAGGATTTGAAGGCAAGATTTACAGACCCACAACTCTAGAAGGTTCCATTAAAATGTGACAAAATAAAAAATATCTTCATTGTATTAACACATGATGGATGTATTTTACAGAAATTTTATGATGAATTTCATACTCTGATGCTAGAAGTCTTTTTCTTAACCTGTTTATCTTCTCTTTATTTTCTCAACTTATCACTAGACACAAGCATCGAAAATACCAAAAATGTTTCGAATCTTTTCACCTGGACAAAAAAAAAAAAAAAAAAAAAAAAATTATTAATAAAGAAATTGAAAACTGACAATTTAAAAGATTCACCTTATATGTCTCAATGCATCATACACAGGGCTGGCACTGGGCTTTCCCACCTGATGAAATCTCTGTGATTCTTAAATTCTTCTGCCTAGTGCCTTCCTAAATTCTGCTGCTTAATGCTCTCCTAAATTCTGCTCTCAGTCCCTGTCCTAAATTCTAAAAGTTTTGCCACTTCTAGATTTTGTTGCTCAGTGTGTCACTAAAATCTAAAAATTCTGCCTCATCGGCTCAAACCAGCCCTTACCACATATAATTTCATATTTATTCTGAATGTTCATATTACTAAAGAAATAAAATTAGCAGCTTTTCCTTTATATTCTAAATGAATTTGTTTTTTAGAATAACAGAACTCTTTAATTCCAAAAATTCTGAAGTGAAGATGAAACATATTGAAAGAAACTGAATACATATGCAAATTAACCAGTTGTTTAGAATTTTAGCGTTTACTATAGCTTTCCCTTTCCATTTCCTCACCATAATGCAAATCAGATAGTTTCTTAACTGAGATTTTTCGATTGTAAGACAGAAAGTTTTTGCTCTCCACTTGGATGTCGCCTTAGTTCCTGCTACATCTGATAATTTGTAATTATTCATCTTTGCATTGTCATTGCTAATATTTGAATTTGTTACTACAATAAAGTTACTGAGCCACCTTAGATTAAATTTAAATTGCGTAGTCTTTGAATACTAGTCGACATTTTTAGTTTCAATTTGGCTGTTGCATCACCAAAAGCTGTAGTTTATTTTGTCAACATGAACATATGTACGTGCCTGTATGTTCCAAGTTCTTTTTAAATAAGAGGTATATTTAAATCTTTATGCTACGCTGTAGTTACCTTTAGACATAACAATAATTTGCTTCATGTCTATCAGAGGTTTTGGATTATTTAACTTTCACCAGATCACATAAAACCTCGTTAGGTACACTGTTGAGAGACTACAAGTTAGAAGATAAAGCACGCAGAAACTAGTGAGAACATTGGTTTGTATATTGAAACAGATTTCTAATTGTTAGAAAAGATGTTTAAAGAGAAGAAAATTGATATAAATTAGCCAAAATGATTAGGAACACTTTGAATTAAAAATATGCATAAATATTTTGTTTTGTAACTTTTAACGTAATTATCCTAATACTGTTTAAGAATCAGTGTCATAAATTACATGTATTTTAAACTGTAAAATGGTATTAGATAGTGATTTTAATAATGGCCATGTAAATCTATAACAACTGAGGGTATTTAACTACCTAATTTAATTATTTATAACTAACTGCTCATCTTTAAAGGTTATCTATGCATATTAAAGCAAGTTATTGCTCTTCATTAATCATTACTGTGGCAACAAGATGATGCACAAAAATGTAAAATTTATTATAAACTTATTCTTTGCATCTAGGGAGACTTAAAATAATACAAAACAACTTATCACCTCTGCTATATTAAGGGCTTATTGGAACCTTAAAATAGATTAACCAGGTTACAATCCCAGGAACTCTATATGAAGCTACAACACTTGCAGAGACATTAGGATTTTTTTTTAAACAGGAACAAATGAAAAATGAACCAGTGCCTTCACTGAGAATCGAACCGCGGACCTCTGGAATATGTGCCCAGCGTGCAGACCACCACACCAAGAAGGCAGGAGAAATACCTTATATACACCCCCTTTTAAAAGGCGACTGGGGTTTTAGGGGACCCAATCGCCAAATCCTGGGTGAGGAGAATAATTATCCACCACCCTTTTAGTTCGGGCGCCTCTGTACGGACATTTGGTATTTTTTGGAAGCAGGAAAGATGAAAAATATGCAAAGCCTTCCCCGGGAATCAAATCGCGGAACTCTCAAATACGAGCCAAGTGTGCAGACCACCACATCATGAAGACATGCCAAGAAATGCGGGAGAAATACCTTACCTACAACAGGCTTTCAGGTTTTTTTCTGATCAACAGGTCTCTCTCTCAGCTAGCAACAGCTAATCTTCTGTTACAAATCATGCTGATTATGATTTTATTTCTCATTTTAACCTATGCAATTTGACATAAATTTACCTGCTATTTACTAAACCTCTAGACTGAATAAGTATGGGCAAAATGAGACATAAAAGAAAAAATCACATAAAGTGTAATAAAATGTAAATGAAATGTCCCCAATATTCTCAAATATATCCAATTATTATATGTAAAAATCTTTAATGTATTTTATAAATTTATAATGGGATTTAATTCTCAAATTTGTTTTAAAGTTATGTTTAATTAGAATGCATCCTACTTACGGATCTATGTTTTTCTTAGAATGTTATTACAAAAGTGAAATTCAGATGTAAGCTGGTTGAATTGAATTTTTTAGTCTCTATTGGCTGATAGGTCCTTAATTTTTTTCATTAATGGTCCTTAAAAGTACTTAATTTCCATGTGCAGAAATGTGTACGAACCCTGTTGATGTAGAGAAAAAGAAAAGTAATATGTTATTGATTTATTATTTATGTGTTATTAATTCATGAGTTACTTGTTTAATGTTATTTTGTTAAAAGTTATTTCACATTTTACAGATAAAAAGGTGTCCAAATTCTATTCCTTTATGGCTGCTGTTGTCTCAGTTAGAGGAAAGAACTGGAGCATTAATTAAAGCACGTTCAGTCCTTGAGAAAGCTCGTCTAAAAAATCCAAAGAATCCTCAGCTGTTGTTAGAATCAATACGAGTTGAACTGCGTGGTGGATTAAAAGATATTGCTCTAAATTTAATGGCTAAAGGTTAGGGGATAAAGCTGTCTCATTTCCTATTAATTTTCAAGTAGCTTGACGTTTTTTACTGCAGGGCTTTATTATTTTCAAATGTCTGAGTTTTAATTAGATTATCTGATATTTATTTGCTAAGTATGCATAAGATTGTATGGTATGAAAATTAATTTTGCATTGCATATATGATTGATCTTTTTCGTTTTTTAAATTCAAGCTATGCAAGAATGTCCAAACAGTGGCATATTATGGGCTGAGGCCATATTTCTTGAAGCAAGGCCTCAACGAAAGACTAAAAGTGTTGATGCACTGAAGAGATGCGAACATGATCCTCATGTTTTGTTAGCTGTATCAAAGTAAATTTTTTTAACCTTTTTATATTGCATTGCATTCTTTAGCAATAAAATACCACAAGTTTATATTTGTCTTCTTTGAACTTTAACA